AGATTTGTTCTTTTTGCTTAGTCTTGCTTTGGCTATGTGGGCTCTTTTTTGGTTCCATATAAATTTTACAATTGTTTTTTCTAGTTCTGTGAAGAATGATGATGGTATTTTGATGGGAATTGCACTGAATCTGTAGGTTGCCTTTGGCAGTATGGTCATTTTCACAGTATTGATTCTACCCATCCCTGAGCATGGGGTGTGCTTCCATTTGTTTGTACCATCTGTTATTTCTTTCAGCAGTGTTTTGTAGTTTTCCTTGTAGAGATCTTTTACCTCCTTGGTTAGGTGTATTTCTTTTTGTTGTTGTTGTTAGGTATATTTCTAAGTGCTTTATTATTATTATTATTATTATTATTATTATTTTTGCAGTTGTTATAAAAGGGATTGAGTTCTGATTTGATTCTCAGTTTGGTCATTGTTGGTGTACAGCAATGCTACTGATTTGTGTATAGTGATTTTATATCCTGAGACTTTACTGAATTCATTAATCAGATCTAGAAGCTTTTTGGACGAGTCTTTACGATTTTCTAGGTATTGGATCATATCATTGGCAAACATTGACAGTTTGACTTCCAGTATTAGTCCATTTTCATACTGCTACAAAGACATTACCTAAGACTGAGTGATTTATAAATAAAAGAGGTTTAATTTACTCACAGTTCTGCAGGCTTGGGGAAGCCTCAGAAAACTTATAATCATGGTAAAAGGCAAAGGAGAAGTTAAGTACCTTCTTCACAAGGCAGCAGGAAAGAGAGTGCAGAGGAAACTGCCACTTTTAAAACCATCAGATCTCATGAAAACTCCCTCACTATTATGAGAACAGCATGGGGGGAAGCACCCCTATCCAATCACCTATCAGCAGGTCCCTCTCTTGACACATGGGGATTATAATTTGAGACGAGATTTGGGTGGGGACTCAGAGCCAAACCATGTCTCTTCCTCTTTACCGGTTTGCACGCCCCTTATTTCTTTTTCTTGACTGATTGCTCTGGCAGGGTGGGCTTTTAAGAGCCTCTTGAAATAATATTAGGACTAGAAATTGTGTGAAGTAATGTCTGAAACATTACTTCCCCAGAAAAAGTTTTCTTGTCAGCCCTTCTAACACCACCTGAAATGTCAGCTCTTCTCTTTATCTTCCTCACCTGTGCTTCCGCCTCTTTCTGCCTTAAGATTAATAACCAATTTTATGTTTTCTATCATATTTTAAGTCACTTGCTAGTAATATTTGTTTACAATCTTTCTCCCTTTACTGACGCCTCGGAACCCTTTTAAATTTTTTTTCTGGTTTTTGAGACATAATTTATATACAGTAAAATTCACCAATTTTAATTATACAATTTGATGAATCTTGACCAATGTATGCACCGTCAACAATCATATAGAACATTTGGGAATATAAAGTTGAGCTATTAAATTCTAAATTCACATTTGAAGCTCATAATGGAACTACTGTGCCATTCATTTACCTGGGTTTTTATTCTAATTGCCATTATTTAATTAAATGTAAAAAACAATCACGAATTGGGAGGCCGAGACGGGCGGATCACGAGGTCAGGAGATCGAGACCATCCTGGCTAACCCGGTGAAACCCCGTCTCTACTAAAAACACAAAAAACTAGCCAGGCGTGGTGGCGGCGCCTGTAGTCCCAGCTACTCGGGAGGCTGAGGCAGGAGAATGGCGGGAACCCGGGAGGCAGAGCTTGCAGTGAGCTGAGATCCGGCCACTGCACTCCAGCCTGGGCGACAGAGCAAGACTCCGTCTCAAAACACACACACACACACACACACACACACACACACACACACAATCACATTAATAAACACTTTTCTAAATGGCAAAAAAAAAGAAAAAGAACACCTGGGCCCACACTTTTAAAGTCTTCTAGTTGAAAATAATTAAATTTCTGAACATGCTGATAAGTGATCAATTTGCAAGTTAAAAAGTGTAATTTTGGCTGGCCCTAGTGGCTTATGTCTGTAATCCCAGCACTTTGGGAGGCCGAGGTGGGTGGATCATCTGAGGTCAGGAGTTTTAGACCATCCTGGCCGAGATGGTAAAACCCTGTCTCTACTGAAAATAAAAAATTAGCCAGGCATGGTAGCACATCCCTGTAGTCCCAGCTACTCAGGAGGCTGAGGTGAGAGAATCACTTTAACTTGGGAGGCTGAGGTTACAGTGAGCCAAGATGGCACCACTGCACTTCAGCCTGAGTGACAGAGTGAGACTGTCTCAAAAAAAAGTATAATTTTATTCAGTATGAAATAAGAAATTAAGAATATGTTTAAGAATAGTTATTAAGAAAGGCAATAAAAATTTAAAATCTCTATTAATTCATTTAGTTGTCTTTCTTTGTTCTCTAAAGAGGACTAAATGCTTGCAGAAAATTTAAAATTTGCCAAGAATAGGTTTGATTTTAGGATAGGATACTTAGGGCTCTACCTGTGACTGCTGATGGGAATCAGGGTACTAATTTATTGTTTTAGTCTTAGTCTTAGTCTTCTGGTTTGTTTCCTTTTCATGCTTCTAAACAGAAGCAAAGCATAGTTGAAGAATGGGAAGGTGAGCAGAGAAGAGAATGGAGAGGAGGTGGTAAGACTAGTTGGCACAGGCAACACTTAAATCTCTTATTCTGCTTCTTAAATAGCATAATTACATGGAAATGGTGCCAGTAATGTAGAGCAACTTAGTTGTTTGAAGTGCAAAATGAAATTATAACTATTAGGAAATTGTTGGAAAACAAGAGATGTAATATGCCATAGGCATTATGTTTTGTGAATAGATATATGCTATATTTCTGAATGCTGAATGCTTGTTTAATGTAAAATGAGGATTTCTAAATAGGAGGGAAGAGAAAAAACATCTGCAAGTAGAATGCTGAATTGACTGGGGAGGTGGATAAAGTGAAACACAAGCCTGTTCCTGCCTTCCCAAAACCCTCTTCCTTGGGTCCTCCTGTGTTGCTCCATGGCTCCCTCTTTCTCTGTATCTCCTTCTCCTCTTCCCTCTCTGCACAGGCCTTCCATAGGTCCTCTTTATTCTTTTTATCTCTCATTTTTGGACATTTCCCAAAGTTTTTTCTCCATCCTGTCCTTTTTCTCTCTTTAGATATTTTCTACTTTGGAGATCACATTCATTTCTATGTCTAAGGAAATATCACCTCCATTATGGAAATAAAAATCTAACAATTACCAAGCTTTTTAGCACTGTGAAAATTTCTATGTAGGGTGGGATGGCTGACAAAATGACCCCATGTTTCCCTCTGATTTTCTTTCCTCCTAGGAGTTCCCGCACCTTAATTACCACTATTCTTTCCAATAGACCCAAGGGTGTACTGCTCCAACATTAGATTTTTGATCCAACTGTGTATGAAAATCCCTTTCCTTTTTTTTTTTTTTTTAAAAAAAAGAACTATAACGGACTGGGCACAATGATGCACATTTGTAATCCCAACACTTTCGGAGGCCAAGATGGGAGGATTGCTTGAGGTCAGGAGTTTGAGACCAGCCTGAACAACATAGTAAGATCCCACCTTGAAGAAGAAGAAGAAGGAGAAGAAGAAGGAGGAAGTAGAAGAGGAAGAGGAGGAGAAGGAGGAGGAGGAAGAAGAAGAACTAAGACAAAGCAGTGACACAAAAACCTACGAGAGAAAAAAAGCCTTAATTCAGCCTGTTCTAATAGTCCCATAGCTGTTTTATAGGTTAAATAGAGGTTGTTCAGCCTCCAGTGCTACATACAGGTAGACAGATTATAAGGGATATCTTGCTCAGTCCATATAGAGAAAGCTCCCTGCCTCATTTGAGGTTTATCAGTTGAGAGACACATTTCTTTTCTAATAGGCTGACAGCTAAAATTGACAGATTCTTCAAGGGAGGCCATTGTTCATTAGACAGAGACACTCATCTAATAGCCACTATTAATATAAAATTGCTGGCCTAATAACAACTGCGATATCTGTTCAACAAAAATGTGTACTCACTCAGCATTGTGAAGAACTTTTTTTAATACATCTCTATATAGGTAATTTCCAGATACATATTTCTTTTCTTCATTTTCTTTTTTTTGAGATAGGGTCTTGTTCTTTCGCCCCGGATGGAGTGCAGTGACATGATCTCAGCTCACTGCAACCTCTGCCTCCCTGGCTCAAGTGATCCTCCTATCTCAACCTCCTGAGTAGCTGGAATTACAGGCACACGCCACCCACACCCAGCTAATTTTTTTTTTTTTTTTTTGTAGAGATGAGGTTTTGCCATGTTGCCCAGGCTGGTCTCTTAACTCCTGGACTCAAGCAATCTGCGCGTCTCAGCCTCCCAAAGTGCTGGGATTACAGGCTTGAGCCACCGCTCCAAGCCTACAGATTTATATTTCTAATTCAAGTTTATATCTTCATTCTTTCTCTTGTTTATACACTCAGTCAATATTTCTTGAGCACATCCTATGTGTCAGGCATTACACTAGGGGCCAAACAAGACAAACATGACAGCTACCCTCATGGAATTTGCATTAACAGAGGTAGGCAGACATTAAAAAAATTGTAAGTTGGGATAGTCATTGCAGTAATTGAGCTCCATAGAGACAGCGCCTGGGCGAGTGAGAGCCAGATGAGCACTGGGCGACTCTGCCTTGCTGAGGAAAAATAACTAAACATGGGCAAAGGAGATCCTAAGAAGCTGAGAGGCAGAATGTCATGATATGCATTTTTTGTGCAAACTTGTCTGGACGAGCATAAGAAGAAACACCCAGATGCTTCAGTCAACTTCTCAATTTTTTTTTTTGGAGACGGAGTCTCACTCTGTCGCCCAGGCTGGAGTGCAGTGGCCGGATCTCAGCTCACTGCAAGCTCCGCCTCCCGGGTTCACGCCATTCTCCTGCCTCAGCCTCCCGAGTAGCTGGGACTACAGGCGCCGCCACCTCGCCCGGCTAGTTTTTTGTATTTTTTAGTAGAGACGGGGTTTCACCGGGTTAGCCAAGATGGTCTCGATCTCCTGACCTCGTGATCCGCCCGCCTCGGCCTCCCAAAGTGCTGGGATTCCAGGCCTGAGCCACCGCGCCCGGCCTCAGAGTTTTCTAAGAAGTGCCCAGAGAGGTAGAAGACCACGCCTGCTAAAGATAAAGGGAAATGTGAAGATATGGGGGCAAAGGCGTTTATGAAAGAGAAATGAAAACCTATATCCCTCCTAAAGGGGAGACAGAAAAAGAAGTGCAAGGACTCCAATGCACCCAAGAGCTCTCCTTCGGCCTTTTTCTTGTTCTGCTTTAAGTACGGCCCGAAAAGCAAAGGAGAACATCCTGGCCTGCCCGCTGGTGACGTCGGGAGGGACTGGGAGAGATGTGGAGTGACTGCTGCAGGTGACAAGCAGCCTCATGAAAAGAAGGCCGCGGTTCTGGGGTCGCGGCCTTGCTCCCGCTGTGCGGGGAAAGAATCCAGACCCTTCCACGCGCGCGTGGGCGCGGGGGCCCCGAAATGCTCCCGGTTCCGCGCTAGGTCTCCGCCGGGGCAGGACCCGGAGCCATGGGTGGCACCAGCACCCGCTGCGTCGCCTTCCAGGGGGCCGAGAATGAGAGCATCACCGTGGTGAAGGGCACCCGCTTTGGGAAAATGTGACTGATCGAATGAAGGAATCCTCTCCATCCGGTTCGAAGCCTCAGCGGTGTCTGGTGCTTGTGGCGCCTCCGTTTCTGATGAAGAATTGAAAAGAAGAGCAGCTGAGGAGCGGGCACTGGAGCAAGCCGAGAAAGAATCTGAAGATCGGAAACGACTAAAGCAAGCCAAAGAGCTGGGCTGAGAGAGGGCTCTGCCAATGGGCAGTTAACCAGAGCCATCCTGCGGGCGAGGACATCAAGCGAGGGGGAAGGCGCTAAGGCAAAGCACCTGGCTAGGCAGCTGGAAGAGAAGACCCAGTGCTAAAGAAGCAGGATGCATTCTACGAAGAACAGCTGGCTAGACTGGAGGAGAGGAGCTCAGAGTTCTACAAAGTCACCACTGAACAATATCAGAAAGCTGCTGAAGAGGTAGAAGCAAAGTTCAGGCGGTCTCATGAGTCTCATCCAGTCTGTGCTGATCTGCAGGTTACCGTGAGAACACCCACCAGACCCTCAAATGCTCCTCTCTGGCCACTCAGTATATGCACTGTGTCAATCATGCCAAACAGAGCATGCTTGAGAAGGGAGGATAAAAACTTTCAGAACGAGCAAAACACCATCAACGTTAATTCCAGAGATGGAACATTTTTTTTTTTTTTCCTAGTAAGAAAATAACCCATTTGAAGAGAAGACCACTAATGAGAAGACCACTAAAGAGAGACACCAAGAATGGATTCAGCAGAGTCATTTCACATTTTGAACAGCAGCAATTTGAAGGGCCAAAGCCTTGATCAGGGATCAGTCATTAAAGGACACACTTCAGTATTAGTAAACCCTCTTATGATGATTAAAAGAGAAGGGCAGCCCTCTCCACCGTTTGGTACTTTCTATTCAACTTCCACTGACCATAAAATGTTTCTCTTCAGAGCAAGCCCCATCATTTGGTGAACCTCCACCCCAACGAAGTAGGATGGGGTGGGGGGTTAAATTAATAGGAGTGGGGTGTGGAGAGAGCCAGAAAACACAGATCAGGGGCAGCAGTGCTGGGTGGAATTGTCTAGGCTATGGCATGCTGGCTTTCTCTCTCTTTCTTTTCTCCTTTGATTATGTAAGAGCTGTTTCATTTTAACTTATTATGGTGATTACACAGGCAAGAAGACAAGAAGGAGAGAAAATGTACCTCTTCTACTGGAATAATGTTTATGATTACAAGTGAGATACTATATTTTTATCAATATGAAGGCAACCTTGGCTGATATAACCTCTATACTGAATACTCACATCTTTACTTCACTCACTATCAATAATAAATATATTTTCTGACAAAAAAAAAAAAAAAAAAGAAAAGAGGGCTGCGAAGCTGAAGGAAAAATATGAAAAGGATATTGCTGCATATCGAGCTAAAGGAAAGCCTGATGCAGCAAAAAAGGAGTTGTCAAGGCTGAAGACAGCAAGAAAAAGAAGGAAGAGGAGGAAAATGAAGAGGATGAAGAGAAGAAGGTGAAGAAGATGAAGATGAGGAAGAAGATGATGATGAATAAGTTGGTTCTAGCACGTTTTTTTTTTTCTTGTCTATAAATCATTTAATCCTCCTATGCACAACTCTCTCCTTTTAAAGAAAAAAAATTAAAATGTAAAGCGTGTAAGATTTGTTTTTAAACTGTACAGTGTCTTTTCTTTTTGTATAGTTAACACACTACAGAGTGTGTTTTTAGATAGTCCTGTCCTGGTAGTATTTTCAATAGCCACTAACCTTGCTTGGGACAGTATGGAGGTTGTAAATTGGCATGGATTTAAAGCAGATTCTTGTTGGTGCACAGCACAAATTAATTATATATGGGGATGGTAGTTTTTTCTTCTTCAGTTGTCTCTGATGCAGCTTATATGAAACAATTGTTCTGTTAACTGAATACCACTCTGTAATTGCAAAGAAAAAAGTTGCAGGTATTTTGTTGACATTCTGAATGCTTCTAAGGAAATACAAGAAAAAAATATATGAGTTGATTAAGTGTCATAAAAGAAAACTGGGCCAGGCATGATGGCTCCCACCTGTAATCCCAGCATTTTGGGAGACTGAGGCAAGAGGATCACTTGACCCCAGCAGTTCAAGACCAGCCTAGGTGACATAGGGGCGACTCTGTCTCTACAAAAAAATAAAAATTTTAGCCAGGCATGGTGCTATGTGCCTGTAGTCCCAGCCACCAGCCATTTGGGAGGCTGAGGTCGAAGGATCGTTTGAGCACAAAAGGTTGAGGCTGCAGTGAACTATAATCGTACCACAGCACTTCAGCTTGGGTGACAGAACAAGACCTTGTCTCTAAGAAAAAAAAGACTGTAGGATATTGATATTACAGGAGTCTATAAGAAGTTCTGACTTAATTGGGTTTGAAGAAGTGACATTGAAGTGAAAGTTAGAGGATGAAAAACTAGCCAGGAACATTCAGGTGAGTGTGACAGAATGAAAAAAAGGAGCAGGGAGGAAATACTAAGCAGAGGACACAGCATTTGCAAGGAATGTTAGATAACAGGAGAGACTGACTGGAGATGAACTTATCAAGGAGGTCAGGTATTGAGTCCCATCATTCCCATCCCCAACGTCTTGGCCTGTAAGAAGTTTGATTGCAGGTCTGTTTGCACAGAAGGCTATTGGCAGGCCTTCCAAAATGAGCTGAGCAACTTTACCTTGATCTTGGATCTGACCCTCAGCTGTACCAACTGGGAAACTGGGTTTTGGGAGCACACAAAATGTAATACCAGAATGAGCCTGGTATTGCTGTTAGAGCCACTTTAACTATAAGATGGGCATGGTTTAAGATGTGGTGAAAGAGAATAGGAGGGAGAGTAAGCTAATGGGGTTAGAAAAACAGAAATAATCACAGCTAGGAGAACGTGAAAAATGTGGTTTCCTGGAAGCCAAATTCCTGCCAAGATCACAGTCTAGCTCATGGAATTTCCTACTGATCGGAATGCCTTCTGCTTTTCTCTGGCTGAAATATTAGTGCCCCAAGTTTTACTATCAAAGACAGGATAATAACAAAAATATTTATTGATTAAACACAGAAAGCACTGACAGTCTTTCCAGATGAAGCCAATAGCATATACTATAATTCTTATCTTTTTATGCCTTATTACATTCATGTGTTGAGTCTATGTATCTGTCACTTTACTTCTACTATTTCAATTAATCTTCAGAACAATTCTATATGGTTGGTATTAGTGTTCCATTATTGGAACGCTAAGCTTGTGGGAGTTTTTATATCCTGCTGCTCAAGGTCATCGCCGAGGTCTGATTTTTCACACAAAAAAAATTTGCAACCTCCGGCATAAATGGGTTAATATCCCTCCCTCTTTCCTCCATTGGTGAAAAAATTGAGAATCAGAGAGTTTCAGTGATTGGTCAGAGATTACACAGTTAGAAAGTGAGAGTCAGAACTCAGATTTGGTTATGTCTGACTCCAAAACCTATGTTGTAGTCACTCCAACCCACTGCCTCTAACAGTATAGAGGCATAGTATTCCTAAAAATATATTTTTAGAAGTTTTCACATGTTAAGCTTAGAATTGGAAGCAGTGACATTTTCAATAAATTAATCTCTAACAGTCCAGTTAAGGGCAAGAAATTTGAAAATGGCATTTTATGTTGAAAATATCCTGAAAAGTTTTCCTTAATCTCTATGACATTATTTCAGTTGTTTCAATTTTTAGTAAAAGAGAGAACATGGTCAATAAAAATGCTCTTTCCTACATGTAAGGACCACATTTAGTGATGCTGTTACAGTATCACTTGTGCGAATCAGTAGGACTTGAAGATCATATTTTCCTCCTATTTTAGGGATAAAGTCATAATGATTTTTGGAAGCTATGCACTAGTTTAGAGATGCTAAGACATAATCATGCTTTATAAAAGTTAATTCTGTGAAAAAATCTTAATGATATGATCAGAGCCATTTCTGTAATACTTATCTCACACTGTATTTAATTATTCATAGCTTCTGTTGTGCTTTACTAATGTATGTTTAAATATTTCTTATACACCAACTTTCAGTCAGTGACAAGTAAAAAAAACCACACAAATATTTCTTGCACAATGCAATGTGAGATTATTAAATTCTATTTACTTTGCTAATTGCTAATCTAGCCATAAGTATGAAATTAATCAGTCAGAATAGTAAAGAAGCAAAATTCACTGAAAAAATAAAATCTATTATACTTAAATAAGTATGTGTCATTGGTTGTTTATAACTTACTTCCTTTATAAACCTATTAATTACTAAAATGCATTCTTACAATAACATGGCAAATATGATTATAATTTTAATTGGTTTTATGGGTAAATAAAAAAACTATTATAATTAGTACAAGTTAACTGACCAACCCAAGAATAGTAAATAGTTACTTCAGCATGTTTATATTCCTACTTTTTACAGATACGCATAAACACCGTAGAGAAAATGTATTTCACACATGTGAAACATAATAATTCCTGTGGCTGCCATGTTTTCATATTGATGGTAATACAGATTTCCTTCCTACCTAGTTCTTGAATTTAAAAAAATGTTTAAATAAAAAACTCCTGTGCCAGTTCTGGTGTGAACTAAAAATCAATTTTCGTAAATCAGCTTTTGTATCAGAAAGCCAGTCCTACTTTGTCCCTTCCAGGAGACAGCTACATAGTTTATGTCAAGGGTTTAAAATAAGAAAACTCAAAGCTGCTTCTTTTCTGAACCTTTACTATCATTTAAAGTAAATTTATCTCCTGAAATCATATGATGCAGAGGTGGAGAGCAAGAAGTTTGGAGACTTCCTGGCCAAGTTTGAAATCCAGCCCTACCACTTACTGACTCTGGGATCTGTGACAGGTTACATAATTCCCCTGTATCTCATGTTTTTTCTTGGTGATGATAGTAGCAATACATATCTCATAGAGTTACTCTGAGAATAAAGTAAATACTAACACCAAGGATACAGAAGACATAGTCATTATTATTGCACAACCTAAGTTTTACTTAATGGCCACTATATTAAAGTATAGTACACATGCAGAAAGATACTCAGAAGTGTTCAGTTTACTGAAATTTCATAAGATAAGCTAAACAATCCTGTATAGCAAGCATGCAAATTACAAAAGAGAAACTAGTTACACTCAAAGCCCTCCTCATGCCCCCTTCTAGCCACTACTCCTAAGGGTAACTAATATTTTGACTTCACATTAATTTCATTAATGGCTATTTTTTAAACCTTGATATTATAATAATTGATGAGGGATTTATTGTAGTAGCATTTTGTTTTTTATTTAATATCAATGCTTAAATCTGTTTGCTGATTACTCTTTTAACATATAGGCATATTTTATTTTCTAGGTTAAAAAAGCTCCTTGAACAAGAAAAGGCTTACCAAGCCCGCAAAGAAAAGGAAAATACTAAACGGCTCAATAAACTAAGAGATGAACTTGTCAAACTCAAGTCCTTTGCACTCATGCTGGTGGATGAAAGACAAATGCACATCGAACAACTTGGCCTGCAAAGCCAGAAAGTACAGGATCTTACTCAGAAGCTGAGGGAAGAAGAAGAAAAGCTCAAAGCCATTACTTCCAAATCCAAAGAAGACAGACAGAAATTGCTCAAGTTAGAAGTAGACTTTGAGCACAAAGCTTCGAGGTTTTCTCAAGAGCATGAAGAGATGAATGCTAAACTGGCTAATCAAGAGTCTCACAATAGGCAACTTAGACTCAAACTGGTTGGCTTAACCCAAAGAATCGAGGAGCTAGAAGAGACCAACAAAAATCTGCAGAAGGCAGAGGAAGAACTTCAGGAATTAAGAGATAAAATTGCCAAAGGAGAATGTGGAAATTCTAGCCTCATGGCAGAAGTGGAAAATCTTCGAAAGCATGTGCTTGAAATGGAAGGTAAAGATGAGGAGATCACTAAAACTGAATCCCAGTGTAGGGAACTGAGGAAGAAGTTGCAAGAGGAAGAACACCATAGTAAGGAGCTCAAACTTGAAGTTGAGAAGCTACAGAAGAGAATGTCTGAACTGGAGAAATTGGAAGAGGCATTCAGCAAGAGTAAATCTGAGTGCACCCAGCTACATTTAAATCTGGAGAAAGAAAAGAACTTAACCAAAGACCTGCTAAATGAATTGGAGGTGGTCAAGAGTCGAGTTAAAGAATTGGAATGTTCTGAAAGTAGATTGGAAAAGGCTGAATTAAGCCTAAAAGATGATCTTACGAAGTTGAAGTCATTTACCGTGATGCTGGTTGATGAAAGGAAAAATATGATGGAAAAAATAAAGCAAGAAGAGAGAAAAGTGGATGGACTCAATAAAAATTTTAAGGTGGAACAAGGAAAAGTTATGGATGTAACTGAAAAACTAATTGAAGAAAGTAAGAAGCTTTTAAAACTAAAATCTGAAA